TGCTAACCTTTCAATGTATCAGGGACATTTGTCTCCCCTTGCATAGAAGACTCCTGGCATGTTTCTCATAATAGTTGGAGATACAGGCTCTGGCTTGTTATTTTGTCACTTGACTCAGCTTCTGGTTGATAAACGAGGAAAGAACTTTGGAATAGGAGTGGTAAGACCCAGGCTGTTTTTACTCTTCTGCTACTACGTCCTAGGAATAAGGGCCCATGTGACCTCAGAGCTTCGCCATCTCCTTGTGTCCAGCGTAAGGCTTGGTCTTAGAATCTCTCATGTCCTTTCTGGCTAAAGGTTCTAACAACCATCATGTCCTATTACTATTATAATATGTCATCTTGCTATATATACCCTAACAAAGTAGAGATCATTGAAGAAAATTATGTTACAAGACTGAAGTATAATTAGCATTGCTAATAAATGGCAGTAACTGGAAATAGTTTGCCCTTGAAATAATGCCCTTACCTAAATCTTGTTTAGCCCTAGTTATTTGTTTAAAAACAAACACGTATGATGCTATTCTTATCACAAATTTCAAATTAGAGAACTTGGTTCGGAATGAAAGTGGTTTTGACTTCACCGTTAGTACATGTATCTTGGGTTTTTATAAATAAATGTGTTTTCCTCTCCTATTCTCTACCTGACCTTGGAACCCATTCATCGGTTTATTTTTTCCAATTGATCAGGGATGCGAGAGGACTCTGGTCTTTGGGACTGCACTTTGGTAAACAGAGAACTCAACCAAAAAATAAAAATAAAAATTGCTTGTGATCTTGTAATTTTCCAGGCCTGGGAACCGAGCTAGGCTTAAGCCCACCCCCCCGATGCCAGCTCAGTCAGGGCTCCTGGACCTTGAACTGTTACCCAAGCCAACCTCCCTGCTGCACCAGCTGCACCGCTCATTCACAGTGACCCAGTTTCCCTTCTTATGTAAGCAGCCCGCACCAGAGAACCAGAGAGAGTAGGCCGGCAGCAGGCAGCGTGTGCGGCCACGGGACGTGTTCTTGGAGAGCCTGTGCCTGCTCCGGAGGATGCCAATATTCTGCTCAGTGTTCCAGGAATTCTGGATACAAGCCTTATACACCAACCTCAAACACTGTGTAATGTTCTTAGAGCCTGGGCTTCTTAGAGGACCCTACAAAGAAAACCAAAGGGAAGTGAGAAATGAAAAAAAAGAAAAAGGCAGATCCTCATGTTTCTCTCTCAGTTTTGTTAACTGTTCACCACCCAACACCTTTAAATGACCAGGATTATCTTTTGGTATTAGGCATGTTGTGTTCTGTGTGATGATGCCTTAAAGCAACGAAGTGTAGGCACAATGATCACAAACATGGAGGGAACATTTATGATCTGAGTGTCAGGTTCTTCGTGCTGTTTACATGTATTATGTGATCATCCCCACAGCCCCCTGGGGCAGTGCTGTTAGGGTCTGCATTTCTTTTTTTAAAAATTTTATTTATTAATTTTTAGAGAGAGGAAGAGAGAGGGAGAGAGAAACATTGATGTGCTGCCTCCTGCAGGTCCCCTACCAGGGATCCAGTCTTCAACCCACACATGTGCCCTTGACTGGAAATTAAACTGGCAACCTCCTGGTGCACAGGACGATGCCCTACCAACTGAGCAACACCAGCCAGGGCTAGGCTCTGCATTTCACTGATGAAAGAACCGAGGCACAGAGAAGCTAACATCTTGCCCAAAGTCACACAGCTAGTGTGTGTCCGGAAACCATCCCAGGCAGTACAGCCTCAGAGATCAGAGAGAAGTCACTCTGTCCAGCTGCCTGGAATCTGTGGGGATGAGGAGGCTCTGGTTCCTTGGGTGTAGGGGAGGGAGCAGCATTTTACGTGCACAGAGCGGAGTGCATGGAGCCCTTGCACAGCTAACACAATGCAGGTCACACTGAGAGGTGCCAGTAGATGCTTGTGAGCCTTTCAGAGATAAACCAGCATCCTGCATTTTAAACCAATTGCAGTGTCTGGGCAAGCAGAAGGGGAGGGTCCTGGTGGAGAGAAAGGGAATGATGGAAAAAACAACAACAGTGAAAGGGACAGAGGACAGAAGGAAAAGAAATGGGACAGGAAAAGATGCTGAGGGGTCAGGGAGAAGACCAGAGAAAAGCCTTGCTGAGAAGTGATGGGAGGTGGTAGCGGGGAGGATAGGATGCAGATGGGAAGAGGAAACCCCACTGGCTCTGGTCCATGCAATTCCGTTGCTAGGTGACATAAGCAGGAAAGGTGGGCCAGGTGGGGGACCAGCGGTCTGTACTCAGAAACCCTCTTAGGCCATCTGCTCTGGGGAAGGGGCCGGGGTCCCGCAGCCTCGGGGGCTTCCCACCCCTTCTCATTTCCATTGTTCAGTGCAGTTTCTCTCTGTACAAGCCAATTCTCTAGGCATCAGTTTCCTCACCCACAAGATGAGAAGAAGTAAAGCAACATCCCTGAGAGCGCGTTGCAGGTGTTATCTCTTTAATTCACACAAAGACCCAACAAAGCTGAGGCTTAGATGAAAAGAGATAACATCTGTACCTCATGTAGCATAAGGCCAGTTTCCTTAGCTGGGTTATCTTCACCAAATACTGTTGATGGAGGCAGAATGGTAATTTTCTTTCTTTCTCTGTAACTAGACTCGGCTTGCTCATAAAAAAAAATGATGAAAAGCAAAACAAAATCTAACGCAAACAATAAACTTGAGCTTTCCCAACAGGCTCTTCCAAGTTCCTCCTCTAAGTCACTTTGCATTTGCTCTGTTAGATAAATGCATCGTGTTTTAGGGTCCTCCCCCCAATCTCTCCTTCCCTCTCCCCGACTACAGTGGAAAGGCAGCAGGTCCTCCTGAGAGTGTCCATGGCTCTTGTCATGTGTGGGCTGGTCCCACTCAGAGGCCACCTGGGCAGTCTCGGGCACTGTCTCCTCAGAGGCGTCCACAGCTCCAGCTGGGTTTCATCCAGCCTCCGCCTGTGGCCTCCGAGTGGTGGCCATCTCCTGGCAGGCGGTCTAGCTCTCAAGTTCGAGTTCTTTGGAGCCTGTGGATGCTTCTGGACCTCCCCTGTGAGAACTTGGAGGAGATGTGGGTGGCAAAGAGAGCATCACAAGGGATTTTATGGGCATAGATTTTTAAATTTGTTTTCCGAGGTATCCCAAGACTTTGCACAGTATGTAGTTGTACATTAGTAGCTTGAAAAATTTTGTTGAATTGAATGAATGATTCTCAGGCCACCTCTCAGCCTAACCGCTGCCATGTCACTGTTTCAGGGTCACTTTGACTCTCAATTTACCTGGGGTTTCTACTCCCTCTTCTCAGGGTTTCAAACCGATGTAGGATTGAGGTTGGGTGGGATCCAGAGCAGAGCTCTTGAGTCTAGACTATGTTACTCTTCTCCTCCTTCCCCTGCACAGGAACAAGCTTATTTCCCTCCTTTCTAATGGGAAAACAAGCTTACATAGTTTTCTGCTTTCTCCATTTTCTATGTCCTAGAGATAAGGTGACCAAATGTCCTCGTTTTTGCCTGTGGGGGTCATGGTTTATGCCCAGCCTCCCCATGTGATTCACAGAAGTGCCCCCCTTCACTCTCAGAAATGTCTTGGCTCGCATGATGAGTTCATGGCCACCTCTAGCTTTGTTAGACACTTTCAGCTCATACCTCCAAATTTAGATTTATTTATGATTTCAAATTTAGCTTTGGGAGTCCCATCAAAAACCCTTTTCTCTCTCAAGTTGGGGGCTCTTGCAATGAAAAGTCTTGGCTTTATGGCCATCGTTCTAGCACCAGTCTATATTGAAAGACAAACAGTGACTTTTTAATTAGGAGAAATAAAAATGTTTCAGAAAAGTAAAAGCAAACATTCAAGTACATCAACAGCGTAGCGCCGCCAATCCATCAAATAATCCAGCGCACTGTGCTGGCGCGTGTTGGTGGATCTCAGATCCTCGAGCAGGGCATCCCATCACCCGGAATTAAGAACTGCTCACATATTGTCCTCCTAATGAATTTTAGAAAGGAAGTAGTACACCATTATAGCAAGAGCCATTTTTAATAGTGCAGTGACTTTATTCTAGGTGGTGCCTCCCCTCCCCCTGAGGGAAGGTCTTTGGGCTGCCAGCGGCCAGGCAGCTGCAGGATAGCTCGCAGAAAGCTATCATTCTTATTCATTTAAAGGAGAGTGTGGTAAGGGTTGAAATAATTCATTAAAATGTTTTAAAAATAAAAACATTAACTGAATGCATAGGCTATCGATGAATGCTATTTTCTTCTCCAGATCTATGTGGTAACCCTGCACCTCTTCTTCTGATTGGAGGCTCTGTTTGAATAAAAGTGAAAGGGTATATTCATTCAGTCATTTAGAACAAAAACTGTAATTAATCTTAATTAAAACACATAATTTGATAGGCAAGGTCTTTTGAAATAAATGAACTATGTTGTAAACCATTAAAATACAGGGCCTCAGAGGTTTTCTAAAGGAGGCTGGGAACCCCGTGCATGTACTAGAAGGGCATTACCAGCTGAATTTCAGTGTGTGTTCACCTTCAGATATGATTCTGGTTGCAGCAAAGGATTTGCCCTGAGGAATTCACACCTCCCTCTAGTTCATTTTATAATAGATTGGGTGTTTTTTTTTCAGGCTTGTATTAGGGTAAGGAATGGATTACACGCATTACTTTGGCCTCATTAGAAACACAGGCTCACCATTAGACCCAGGGGGCAGCTGACTCTGCATTAGGGGTCAGGCAGTGACCACTGACGGCTGATTGGAAGTGACCAGGCACTCCCATAGTCATTATTACTGTGGTTTCCTAAGCGTTTCTCCTTAATATCACTGTTGCCTCTGAGACTATCTGCATGTCTGAGAGCAGAAAGTCTTCAAGAGGTTATGGAGGAGCAGTGGGGGTTAGTCAAGGCCACTCTGACATTATTACTACCTTTCTTTCTTTCTTCTGCAGTTCTTGTGCCTAAGCTTCTTCCTATCTCTCTTCCTTTCCACCTCCCTCCACATCCACAGATGGGGTGGCTGCATTCCTCGCCTTCTTGAAGACGGAGTTCAGCGAGGAGAACCTGGAATTCTGGTTGGCCTGTGAGGAGTTCAAGAAGACCAGGTCAACTGCAAAACTGGTCTCCAAGGCCCATAGGATTTTTGAGGAGTTTGTGGATGTGCAGGCTCCGAGGGAGGTGTGTTGGCAGTGGCAAGCTCTTGTCAGACCTCTATCCATAGCTCCTGGCTCACACCTCCCTCCTCATGGGGGTTTGAGCCAGGCATGATGGGGATTTTGTTTTGAACTGAGCTCACTGGCTCTTGATGAATCGGGGGATCCTTTTAAAAGCAGAGCCAAGGGCTTGTGTAAAGGAGCTCTAGTAGGAGTGCTTTAGCTGTCTGCCAGTTAAACATTGCCCGCAGGAACTGTGTTTCTCTAGAGCAGGGGTCCTCAGACTTTTTAAACAGGGGGCCAGTTCACTGTCCCTCAGACCGTTGGAGGGCCGGACTATAGTTTAAAAAAAACCTATGAACAAACTCCTATGCACACTGCACATATCTTATTTTGAAGTAAAAAAACAAAACGGGAACAAATACAATATTTGTATTTGCATATGGCCCGAGGGCCGTAGTTTGAGGACCCCTGGTGAAAGAACACACATTTAATAGAAAAAGTAGAAGGCAAATAATCTCCAAATTTTAAGATAATAAAAAGTTCAGGACTTTGATATTCTTTTCTCATTGTTATCTTAATTTCATTGCTAGCTTGTTATAAAAGGTAGATGGGATTTCCTGGAGCTGTGGTTGTATTGATGCGTATAAACACTGATTCTGTCAACTCAGATGCTGCTATTCACACAATCCACGTAAGATCTTGACAAACTGCACTCAGGAAACTTAGAGACAAACTCATTAATTTGATGGTAATGAGATATAAAAAACTAAACAGCAGTGAAATTCAGACTTTTGACTCTCTCAGAAGATAAATTTTAAATAAGAATAAGTACCTTCTAAGGTTTAATTAACCAGATTGTACAGTAAGTCATCCTCCTGATTTCAAAAGCATTAACTTGATTCATATAAAGCAGGGGTCCTCAAACTTTTTAAACAGGGGGCCAGTTCACTGTCCCTCAGACCGTTGGAGGGCCGGACTATAGTTTAAAAAAAAACTATGAACAAATTCCTAATTCACACTGACATATCTTATTTTGAAGTAAAAAAACAAAACAGGAACAAATACAATATTTGTATTTGCATGTGGCCCGCGGGCCGTAGTTTGAGGACCCCTGCTCTAGAGATTCTACAAGGAGAAACACCACTGAATCCATGTGAGTTTTCCTAGTGGAAAGCAGCATGGCTTAATGGAACGAGCATCCACTTTGGAATCTTGTTCCAATCTCAGCTCCACCACTTACTAGCTGTGTGATCTTGGTTAAGTTACCTAGCCTCTCTGAGTCACATTTTCCCGAATGTAAAAGGACCTAATATCACCTTCCTTTCAAGACTACTGTAGGTATTAGGGATAAAGCATCTATTGAGTATTTGTCAATGCTTATTAATTACAGTCATTTATATTATTTTACCAGAACTTCTTATAATTACTTAGAATAAGAAAATGAATTCAATGTACTGCTATTTTGATATATAAAAGGTAAATTTACTTGGGAGGGTTTTATAGAAGAAAAACATTTGCTGTCAATGAGTTTAGGTGCATTACACACCTAGAACTCTTCAATTGTGCTTTGACTTGGGCTGCAGGAGGCCTTTGGCCAGTGGCCAGGATGCTGTAGGCTTCTTATAATGCTGCTTGGAACAGAGATGTGCATTCTAATCACAATCTCTCTGCCTGGAGCATTTGTTTTCATAGTAGTTAAGAAAGGACAAGAGGGCAAGCTTACTTTAGGGAACCGGCATTAATACTTGTCTCTAGTCTAACCCTTTGACATTGCAAAGGCCTCTGGATTAAGAGTTAAGTGAATTGGGGTTTTACCTTGGCTTTGTTACTGACTTTCCATATTACTTTAGACCAGCTTTTTTAGTATCTCTATTATCTATAAATTGGGATGAGGAATATCTGGTCTCCAGGCCTCATAGGATTCTTTCTAGAATCAGAAGGGATGACCTCCATGAAACCAGTTTGAAAAGCCTGACTAGCCTTATATCTATCAGCTGCTGCCATTGATTATTACATAATTAGGACCAGCTGCCAGGCGCCTTGGCCCTTGAGAGCCGGTGACCATGCTGTCTGTTTGTGTCTCCAGGTAAACATAGACTTCCAGACTCGAGAGGCCACGAGGAAGAACATGCAAGAGCCATCCCTGACTTGCTTTGACCAAGCGCAGGGCAAAGTACACAGCCTCATGGAGAAAGACTCTTACCCCAGGTTCCTGAGGTCCAAGATGTACTTAGATTTGCTGTCCCAAAGCCAGAGGAGGCTCAGCTAGACCTCAGATGGGGACTCTTGGAGATCGCTGGCTTTCCCCGCCCCTTGCTGCCAAGACCATATTCTAATGTGAAATGTCAGGGGTGTTCTAAAGCAGTGGTGTTTAGGTTGGGAGGCTGGGGTGAGGAGGGGATGAGGGGCCATTCCAAAGTGTAATTCAGTCACCAGAACTGGGATTCTATTTTATTTACTCATGTTTATGTTTCGGTTAGTGGTAGCACCTGGCTGCACTCATCCTTCTCTGGGTCAGCAACTTGCCCTCCATAATGCCTTGGGTCATCTCCGCTGAGAAGGCAGATTCGCTAGGCCGGACTAACCTGTAAATAATAGAAATGCAGTTTCCATACCTTCCATACCCGCCTCAGTTAGGATTCCCGACACTCTAACTTGTCCTATACCCCTGTGAGGAAGAGTTAGAAGACTGGCTCACACCTGTGATTTGCTATCACAGTGTAACAGCCAGTTCCGGGTGTTGGGGCCTCACAGTTTAGGAGAGAGGTCTCTGTGGAATCCTGGGTCTCTAGAACTATCATTGATAGGTGACCCCTGGGAGAAGGGGCAAACTCCATGGAGTTGGCTGTTTCTTCCATTTCCATAGGACCAGTGTGCAAAGCTGTGCTCACTGCCTATCTTAGTCTAGGATATTCACAAGACTCCCCTACCCTTGCAAGACCCTTCCAGAAAGGGTCTTGGGAGATGTCCCTCACAGCTTCTGATGCAGAGCTGTTATTAAGAAAGATACAGCTTGCCTATCTTCCTACCTTCTACCAAGAAGTTTCCCAGAAGTTGAACAACCAGGAAATGTAGCATCAGTAGACCTTTCTGCAGTGGGGCACCATATAACCTTTCTGCTGCTTAATGTACTCTCTGCCCTCGCTTCCCTGTGGCATCACACATCACCGATCTCTTAGAATGACAGACAGCTTGGCAAAGGGAGGCGAATTCCCATAGCATGGACAGCTCTCACGGTGCCTACTGCTCTCCCTGTCTCTCTCTGTCCCCCCTCCCATGCAGGTCATGTAGTTATGATGGGGGAGAATGGGAACTTAGGCCATAACTCTTTCCCAGCTTGCTTCCTGGGAGCGCGCTTTCTTAGAAAGGCCCTTCTCATGAGGGCCACCTTGGCTATTCAGCAGCTTCCTTTTCGATTTCTGACCTTTTGGGATTGAACATGAGGCTAAGAAGATCACTGTGAACATTTGCTTGTGGAGAACCTTCCTAAAATGCTTTCCTGGTACCCTGGGGCTGCTCTTGGAAATATGTCTAGAAAGTCTTTCTTAGAGGAAGAACGAGGCACATGGAACCTGCTCTAGCTGCCCAGGAAAGAAGCTGACTCTGGCACAAGACTGCGGTGCCAAGGAGATGAATCCTCAGCAGAGAGACCAGAAACTGGAAGAGGGCCCTGGAAGAGACTGGCCTCTGGGTGAACTGGATCACAGAGAATGTGGCGAAGGAACCACTGGGATCATTCAAAGTCAATGGATTGGGGGGATGGCAGGTCTCCAAAACGTTTAGTTTGACTAAATGGAACAGCATCTGACTAGATGTAAGCCCTGGAGGGCAGGTGATTGAGAACTGGGCTGTAGCATTCTCCTCCTGTGGGGTGATGGGCCTTTTTAGACATGCGGGGGTCCCAGTGTTTCCATTCCTGTCCAGAACTGTGCGAATCTCTTCCTTCCTGGGCTGCAGCTAGACAAGGCCAGGAAGGCTCTCGAGTCCCACTGGTGTGGGGCGCACTGCCCTGCCATGGCACATCGTATCCATGAGTGAGGATTGGTGTGCCGGTATGAACCACCGAGGAGAAAGAGAACTCATGCCTATAGTTCTCACACGGGAGACACCAGTGGAATTTCATGTTCAAGAACTCTGAAGCCTCAAGTGGTGTTTCTAGTTAGATCAGGAAGTAAGTATTCCCTTGCCCCCACTAGTAAAAAAAAAAAACCATCCGTAGCTAAAGCTGCCAGGATTAATGTAATGATCAAATTCTCAAACAGGGTATTTTAAACATTGTTTACATACGAAATGTGCATCTGCTGCCAACTCTACTGTCGAAAATGAGGTGCATAGAAATTGGAACAGCACGGAGTTATGGAAATCTGAAACGTTCTAAGAGGGGCCTTTTTACCACTTCCACTATCCCCAGGAGACAAGTCTGAACAAGAGTGTTGTGCGGTGGCCTCACTGGGGCCCTAGAGTTCTTGCCAACTGTTGGTGGAATGAAGGCTTCAGATGGTGGTGTCATGGCGCCTGGTGACTTCCTCCCACGATGGGGAGGCATGAAGGACCATCCTGAATGTTGCCACTAAGGGAGGGTATGTGGGCATGTGTGGAGGAACATGATCGCTATGTTTAGCTTGGGTATCCTGAATGTTGCCGCTAAGCAAGGATATGTGGGCATGTGTGGAGGAACATGATCGCTATGTTTATGGTACTCCATGGAGTGTGTGTGTGTGTGTGTGTGTGTGTGTGTGTGTGAGAGAGAGAGAGAGAGAGAGAGAAAGAGAGAACTGTGAGCATTAGACTAGTAACCACAGAGATGGTTTTCCCGTGGGGTGGAGCTGTCTGCACACGTGTATGTCCTGCTTCCCACAAAAGGCACAGAGCTCTGCGCTCTCATACCTACTTTCAGGCACTTTGGTGATGCCAACCCAGATTTTAGTCTGAGACAAAACAAAGAGAAATGTTTACAACATCTAGAGCAATATCCAAGCATACCTCATACCCAACCTTCCACCTCCCGGTCCTGCCTGTCCTATTTCCTCTTCCACAAGCCCTCATCGCCTCGCCTTCTTAGGTGGGCCCCCAAAAGGGACCACTTCTTCCATTTAAAGTCTTCCTTTTGCTTCTGCGGTCGGATTGTGCTGTGAACTGCCTTCTGGGCTCCAGGCGTGCTCTGTGCCTGGGACCTTTGAAGGCCCAGGGCAAGTCGGGGCAGGGGGCCAGGCAAATCTATGACTTTCAGGACCGTTCTCCAAGTGAGTGGCCTTTTGGCCCCATTTGAATGTCAAACTGTTTGGGGGCTGGTGTGGAATTTCCTGTTGCCCTTGGCAAACCAAACAGAGCCGTGATCAGTGACAGCCATTCACAGCCCCAGGCACCACTGGGGTGAGGAAAGGCCCTCGAGCAATATTTATTATTAAACTTGAGCTTTAGGGAAACTGGCCACCCAGGAAAGCCTGTTACAAGTTCTAATTCCCAGGTTCCACGCCCAGAGATGCTGACCCAATAGACCTAGGGTGGGGCCCAGAAGTCTGCATTTTTAATGAGCTCCTAGGTGCGTAGTGAACCACACTCTGAAGAGAGATGGTCTAAGATGGTGGCTCTCACCCTTGGCTGCTCATTGCAAATACCTGGGGGAGTTTTAAAAACCCAAATGTCCAGGTCCCATCCCAGAACAGTTTGGCCCTGGGACCCAAAGCATTAGTTTTTGAAGCTTCACAGGTGATTCCAATGTACAGGTGAGGTTAGGAAGCAGGGGCCTGAGGAGTGAGGAGGACACAGCTGAGCGGGAAACACCACTGTGCGGGCCAGAGGGCTGGAGCCTCCCCCCTCGCCCCCGCCTGGCCCCCGAGATGCACATAAGCATAGGAACCAGGAACCTGCCAGCCCTGAGTATGACTGTTGGGGTGGCAGCCTCTGTGCCCTTTCAGTCTCCCTTGCTCCTTTGGGATACAAATACCATGTTTCTGCTCCAGCTCCATGCATTGTTGGGTAGCAGATATGCCAAAAGTGGGAGCTGAGGGGGATTTGGTTAGGAGAGGTTTTGTCACCCCCCCCACCCCCAAGTCTTGTTCACAGTGCTTCCTCCAAGCTGGCCTCCTGGGCTGTTCCCCTGTTTGTTTCCATGCATTCTGGTGTTTGGCCATTTTCCAGTGGTTCTCAACCTTCTGGCCCTTTAAATACAGTTCCTCATGTTGTGACCCAACCATAAAATTATTTTTGTTACTACTTCATAACTGTAATGTTGCTACTGTTATGAATCGTAATGTAAATATCTGATATGCAGGATGGTCTTAGGCGACCCACAGGTTGAGAACCGCTGTGTTAGACTGTGCCTCTGTTCCCAAGGCCATGCGACACAGTAGTTGGAACTCAGGTAGTGGGTGAAGGTGTGTGGTAGTCATCATGGCGGTGGCACAGTAACTTGCAGATTCCTCCAAGGAGGGCGGCACATCCTGGGAATGTCAAGCTCTCCGAGGCTTTCTTTGCCAAGGCCCCAGTGGGGCTCCAGTTCCTGCTCGGGGCCCTCACCATTCCCTCTTTGGTCTCAGGCAGGATGGGCACCTAGAAACTTCCTAGTTGATTTTACCCTCTGGTGCTTGCTGCTCTGAATCAGCCGAAGCTGTGGGCGGTGTCCTGCCCAGGCTGCAGGCCCCGGGCACCACTCCTCCACAGGGCAGGACCGGTGTCTGGGCTCTGCAGGCCCTGGGCTGTGAGGGGAAGGCATGAACCCTTGGTGTTGAGAGCTGGGCGAGGGAGAAACTGGGAAGACAAGGGGAAGGGGGAGGGGGAGAGGAACAGGGAAAGTGGGGTCTGCTTCTCCAGGAACCAGAAGGGAGAGGGGGTGAGAGGCACATTCTCAGAGGCAGGATGAGCTCCCACCCATATGAGTGCCCAGCACTGTCCCAACCCTGTCTGTGCCCACGTCCAAGCAAGGCCGAGGGTTTACGCTTTTCCACTCGCGGCTATCCTTGCATTGGCCCGTGTCAATCCTCTGAAAATCTGGCCCTCCGGGTTGGAAGCAAGAGAGGTGGCAGAGTCACCCTGGCATCAAGATCCTGTGCCACGGGGCAGCAGACTTGGAGGAAGAACGCAGGAGCAGACATGTCTTCCTGTCCCCGGGGCCTCTCTGGACTCCAACCCGATGCTGTGGACCAAATGGGAGACTGCAGGATGGGGGCACTGGCCTTCCCGACTGGGGCCCGGGACCTCTCAATAAACTGCCCCCCTTTTTTATCCTTATTCCCTTCCTGCTCCCTCCCCTCTGCCAGGTGCAGAAAAGGTGGCCGGTCTGGGTGTGTTCCCCAACCACGGTAGCATTAGCTGAGTCACGCGGCGTGCACGACATCTGTAGCAGCTCATCTGCCACATAGAGCGCTTGGCTGATGGAGTCCTCATTGAGTTGTCTCATTACCGTGCAAAGTCGAATCATGCCACTCACCTTGACTATAAACAAGCCTTGGAGACATAATAAACAGAACCTGAACCCGCTGCCCTTTGCTGTCCGCCCACGTTTCTTTCTGAGGCCCCGCTTCGCATAACACGTGGACGCCCCGGGGGAACATTGGCCCGGACCTCACCCAGCCCAGGCTGGCAGGGGGCCAGCCACCAGGAAAGTGGCGGCGGCGTGGGTGGAAATGGGATGGAGCTGGTCTGGGATGAATGTGGGGGTGGAAAGTGACTTCGGGTTACGAGAGTGCCTTTGAAACTGTAAAAGGCCGTACAAACAGGAGGTGGTATTTGTATTAGTGCCACCTACGGCTGGATAATGCAGGGAGAGAAAGGCTGAGGGATGGGTTGTGTGTTTGTGCAGCTGGGCAATCAGAAACGGAGTGGTTGGTCCTGTTTATGACTGTACTCACTGTATCCAATCGGCGTGCCCCTGAAAAGTGTGCATTCGTCACCGAATCTTTGAATGTCTCTGGTGATCAGGTTCCGTGGAGGGGACAAAGGAGAATGAAGGGTAGTATCTGCTTGCAAAAGCTCATTTTTATATGTAGTGATGATAGAGATATACAAAACCTTAACAATCCAAATAATTAAAGTGCACCAGAGAAAGGAACGCGGATATTTCTTCTAAGGTGAATGCTTTGTGTTACATGAAAAAGCCTTTTGTAATGCAGGTGATCACTCCTAAATTCTAATTTTGTGGCCTGGGCAAGGCACCTTGGTAGCCTGGGCTACTGCAGACCGGAGGCCCGCCCGCTGGGGCGGGGCTGTGATTGGATCCTCTCCAGCTTAGCTTTTCTACTCCCTCTTACCCCCTTGCTCCCCGGGGTTTCTGACCCCTCTGGGACCACTAAGAGCAGGGAAGGAGGAGAGGAGAGGGAGCAAGGGACACACAGCTAACGCACATGCCACCTGGGACAGGCCTCGGGCTCTCTGGGCCTGGGAGGAGACCCTGTCTCATTGAAGACCCTTTCTCTAGGAGACTCCTTCCGCCCTCCAGCTCTCCCAGCAAGGATGAGAGCTCTCCTATTCTGGCTGGTGACTTGCTCCTTCCTGGGCGGTGCCCAGCTTCTGTCTGTTTGCCCCTTCAGGGCACCCTCTTGGACAGCTCCTCGGATGACCCCATGCCAGTCTCTTTGTCTCAAGAGACCCATCGTTGGCCCATTAGAAGCATTTGGGCCTTACTTGCCCCTAGAAGGTCAAGGCAGCAGCTGCTCTGCCCTCGCTTTGCAGCCAGAGCCCCACGCCGGCCCGCTGCTGACATTTTTGATTTTTCAGGCCATGTCAGGCTCTCCGAGGGACCCACTGCAGACTCTCCCTGGAAGTGAGGTGAAAGCCAGGCACCCCACCCCTTCCCTTTTGACGGGGTGGCACTGACAGCTCACTGACAAACCCTCACCCATTCTTCCCAGCCCCTGGCCTTCTCTGTGGGCTGGTTTTGAGTGCCCTCTCCCTGGTTCTCCATGCCCTCCCTGCAGTGTCTGCTTGGCCTGGAACCCCTTTGGTATCTGAGATCTATCTCTTAGGCCTTGACAGAGAAACCTCTTATGCAGGATGGGGGGCGGGGGGCATCTCATTAACATAGTAAATGTGGAAAAGAACAAACAAAGTCCTTTCTGGTCCTACACCAAACAAAGTGGAAGCCATGGCCAGAGGGAGCAAAAGAGAGGTCATTGAGAGAACGCCCTCCTGGGGGTACACATCTTCCTTGGGGCTGGTCCTGGTTCCCTGTCCAGCGGGTATGGCACAAAGCCCTGGTGGAGGCTGGAGAGGGAGAGTGGGCATTCACCGTGGGTGCTGCCTCCCCATCCATGCCTCATTCACAGAAGACGGGAGTCTGAGCCCAGCACCTATGCCACCGTGGCTGCATGTGCCGCCAGGGAGGGGGCAAGTCGCCAGCCTGAGGGAACTGCCCTTGCCAGGGTCTCATCAGCACTCTTCTTCTTCATTATTTGGGCTCTGACGCTAGACTCCCCGAGTCTGAATCCCAGCTTACAAGTTGTGTGATCCTAGGAAAGTTATCTCCCTGTGCCTCAGGCTTCTCGTCTGTAAAACGACGAAAATCACAGAACTAACTGCTTGGGGCCGCTGTGAACATTAAGTTAACATGGAAGACGCTTAGCACGATGCCCGGGACACAGTTAGGCAACAGCGTGTGCTAACCGGCATCTTGTTT